TTTGGTGCTTATAGCCCAGAGATGCCAGTCCTAATTTGATGTTTACAAGAGGAATCTACTTGTAATGCTTGTTTTTAAGGTGACCAACTTTTTTACAATGAAAAGGAGGACACAAATAAATTGAAGAAAAAATATTGTAAATAAAAGAAACATTTTATTCATTGCAACAATAATAAGACAACTTGCATGTGGAAAGTTTGCCAGCCAGGTGTTTTGGCACGCTCAGCAGCAATTCCTATTGGCTTTCGAAAGGCAATAGGGGGAGTAGCACAGCTCATGCAAAAGTTGAAAAAAAAAACATCAAAAAAAGGTGCCAGAACACAGTTCTGAGCATTCTATGAAGGGGAAAAAAAGCCCTGCAGATTAGTCTTCAAATATCGAAAAGGAGGACACTTTTTGAGGGAGGACAGAACTTACAAAAGGAGGACTGTCCTCCCTAAAGAAGGATGGTTGGTCACCTTATTGTTTTCATTTTCACAAGCTTATGAAACAAGTCATCAGAAGAGATATGCCCAACAAGCTGACTTTCTGATGGGAGTGTGATATCGAAGCAAGCCTTTCTCTGAGGTAATCTTTTACCAGTTGCATTTTATTATAGAAACCTGGAACAGCTGATAGGAATGCAATCCAGTTTTCTTCCCTCTCCCACACTACTGCTATAACCTACCTTTTTCCTCCTCTTTCCTAGGAACCCAAAAGCGGTGTTGGGATCTAGTCCTTTTAAGTTTTGCTCCTAGTTGCACATTCCTCCTTCCTAGCCTTGATGAAGGAATCCCTGCAGAATTCCACTTTATGTGGAGGGAATTCTGGAAACAAAGCTTTGCAATTCGGTCTGAAAAACTACTGTTCTGAAACTTATAGACTAAAAAGCCATAATTGCACATTTCATTGTTTGTTAGCAACTCATTGAAAAAAAAAATCTAGGATAGAAAAACATGGATATCAGGAAAAGAAGCGAGTACAGCATAGCTAATAATTATTCACATTTCCGTCTTGGCCCAACATGTGCTTCCTGAGATTATAAAGCCAGTCATTCATTTAGACTTCTGCTACAAAAGTAGAACTTTTACTTTCCATTTCCTTCCATTAGTCTCTGTTCACATAAAATACTAAATCAGGTTGGTGACAGCCTCAGCATGTGCTGAATATAGAAACCTGATCTTTCCATGTTGGGAGGCCATTTTACCTGTATCCAAGATTAATTATGGGGTAATGTCCACTCTGTGCAGATTACTGTGTCATCTGCAGCAGAAAGAACAGATTAATTTGCCAGCTTTGTTTTCTAGCTTCCACCATGGAGATAAGAATTTCGCAAAATTGATAGTATGTTTTAGCTTTTTTCCTTACGACCTCTACACAGAGATGCAGGAACATGTATGTGAAATGCAGCAGAAAAGGGTGGGGTGAAACCTTCCCCTATCCCATCCCTTGTAGCTTTGATTGGGAAAAAGAAAGAACTTCAAAAGTGCCTGGGATTAATAGCCAAAATGGCTGCTCTCGGTATAATTGAAGTAGCCTTCCTCACCAAATAACATCTGTAAAAATCCATCAGGTAGATCTTACTTGGCCCCTGGTTGGGGGAGATCAAAAAGTCAAGATGATGGTTGTCACTGCATGATTGAAGCCCTACCCTTTTTCACATGTGTCATTTCACATATTAAAAAAGTGAGGGAGAGTGAGGCCTTGATCACATCGCTATGGCCACCATTTTGATTTCTTGATCCCCACCTTGGGGAATCCTAGCCACTACTCTTAAGTGGTGCAAACCACCATAGATACAGGTGAATGGAACCCGAAGGATCACTAGTGCCCCCATGTGCCTGCCATGACTTCTCTCCAGTTCCCTCTGTAGCTTTCTTTTCTTTTGTCCCAAAGGTGCTTTTTCAAAAGGCAACAGAACTGAAGAAGCTTCTTGGATGAGAAGCAAAACGTCTTCAAGAAAAAACAGTTGCCTTTTGAAAAAACACCTTTGGGACAACCGTGATCTAGATGACTGAGAATCTCTATAGACATTTCTTTTCCTTTGCTCTTTGTCTCATCCTATTTTCCTACTGCCTGACATCTTGTTACCTGTCTTTCTTGCTGCCCCACTATTTCCCCTCACTCTCTTTTCCTGCCACCATCTTTCCCTCCCTTTCTCCCTTCCCTCTTGTTACTTTCCCTCTATTGCAGTGGTTCTCAACCTGTGGGTCGAGACTCCATTTGGGGTTGAACGACCATTTCACGGGGGTCGCCAAACAATGCAGTCCGCCATTTTTTTCCCCTTTTCCTTAGCTATGCTACTCCCTTTTATTCTATTGGCTTTTGAAAGCCAATAGAATAGACTCTCTTGAATAGAGTCTAATTCTATTGGCTTTCAAAAGCCAATAGGAATTGTCCAGGCTGTCTCTGCCCTGCTGAGCCCACCAAAAGTCCCATTCTGCAAACGGTGCTGCACCAGTTGAGTAGTAGACTTACGACTGGTTGAGTAGTCCTCGACTTATGACCAGTTGGGGGTCGCAGCATTAAAAAGGTTGAGAACCACTGCTCTATTGCTTCTGAGAAGGAAGTTAGAAGTTTAAGCTGATCCCTTACAGTCAGGATGAGAAGTGGGATGAAGTCACATGGCCATACATTGCCCACCCCAGCTTCAAAGAGAAATTAAGAGAAAAAAAGAGTAAGAAAGATTTATGAGCGCCAATAATTGGGTTAGGGCATGACTCTTTAAGGAAGAAAGCATTCCTATCAACCTAAGCAGAAATGTTATTTATGGAATGTGAGAAGGAGCCAGGTATCAAAGGGCACCTTCTGATACAGGACAATGAGGGGAAATTGAGGATTATATTAATAGAAGAAATTCTATTTTCTCAAGTCTCTTGAGAGCCCTAGTTTCCCAGACTCTGATTCAGTGCTAATGCAACACCTCTCCAACCCACCCACAATTTACAGCTGCAAAATTTAGTGATCTAATTAGATCAACCCATTAAAAGAGGAAGATGGAAGACTGATGTCCCAGAAGCATACTTGGATTTTCCCTCAACCCGCATAGGGACATCCCCAGAAAATGCCCCAGTGGAAGCATTTTAGGGTTTGTTTTTCTTTTTAAAATACTCTGTTTGATAGGCCACTATTTCTGTGGCTTTTAAGCTGCTTTGAAAGGATTGTTGGTCTGAAAAGCTGGGTATAAATGATTGTGTAATGAATTCATAATATAGAGTAGGAATATGATAGGATTAAGAAAAAATGCCTCTGGCTGACCATGCAGCAGCAGATTATGTTCAGACACATAATTTTTGTGTTTTCCTAACATATATATATATATATATATATATATATATATATATATATATATATATATATATATATATATACATATATACACACACATATATACATATACATATATATGAATTTTTGAGGTGGCTGATACTGTGTTTGAAAAAGCAATAGTTCTGTCCCCTCAGGGAAAAAACTGACCTGTTTCACACCCTGCTTGATTCAAAACATGAAACAAAGTACATCTTCCCACTTCAGAAGAATTATTTGTATGTGTCTGTCTGTCTCTGTGTGTGTGTGTGTATAAAATGTCCTTAATACTTAGTCAACCAAATGCAGTTAGATTTATTTAATTGGATGACAGCTTTTCAGCCAACAACCCAAAGGGATAATTATAACCAAAAACCCATTATAAGGTAACCTAAAGGAAGAGCTTGCATTCTATCAGAGTACAAAACCATTTTAAATTGGGAATTTTAACAACATATATATTCCAAGAATGAAGCTATGAGATATTGCTTGCATGTTGTAGCTTTAAGCCAAAAGAAACTGCAATACAGGTAATATTTAAAACTGCCCATGTAATAAAAATTAGGACAGGAATTGCTGAAAATCTTCTGTATGGCACCAAATCAACTCATGTTGACGAGTGTTCACACAATTGTTTACTACTTGGTGAGTTGAAGAGGCAGGAATTTAGTTACATATCATACTGAGAAAGGTAAATATATAAATATAAATATATATATATAGATTGAAAAATCAGGATCAATGCATTGAGCAAACCTTGCTGTTGGGCTATATTGGAATTGGGTGTCTAAACAAATCTAAAAAGAAACAAACCATGAATAAACCATCATTTATGATTTAACAAACTAAGCCAATTAGTTTCTGAATAAATCATGCTTAAACCAATCATAGCTTCACACAATATGAGAACCCAGTGTATACTGCCTAGGCCAATTTGTTGGAGCACATTCTTCAGTCATAGCCTAGGCCACGGGTGTCAAACTTGCTGTGTCACGTGAGTGTCACGACGTGTCATAACTTTTTTTTGCATTGCCGGAGCTGGGGTGGGCATGGCCTCTGCATGATGCAACCAGCCTGTGGGCCGGCAGTTTGACACCCCTGGCCTAGGAAATGCCCTTCAAAGTGCCAAGCTCTTATTCTTGACATGCTTCCTTACTGACCACTGATCCCTACTAAGTCTGTTCAATATATTTAATTCTAGCTTCTCTATCTAAGACACTAATGGGCCCCAAAGGATAACCATCTCAGATCCTGAATTGTCTGTGGACTGAATGATAATTATCTCCCATGTCTCATCTTTCTTGTCATGGTGAAGAGTAAGATACTAAGGCCAAAACGATATTTATCATCAGGATAAGCCAAAGAGAGATTACTTTATTAAGCCACACAGAATCCACTGGACCAGCATTTCCCTGTGTATCATGTAGCAGATGTGCTGGGACTACAGCAGAACATTTCCAGCCAAAAAGGCCAGTCATGCTGGCTGAGAATAAGTAGAAGTAGACCTTGCAGCCCATCTAGAAGTCAGCAGATTGGGGGGAGTTTACAGTACCTATTCAAATCCTACAAAGGCTCTTTGAAAGGAAGTCCAAAGTCAAGCATCCCTCTGCCCCTCTTTTGAAAAGGCACCAAAATGATTATTAAAGGTATTGAGTCATTCAGTTAATCCTCTTATGGGTAGAAAAATAAACAGAGGCCTTCTCAGATCAGATATGGAATTGCGCTCATTTATTTCTGTATTGTAATCTTAAGGGGAAAAGGGGAAAGAGAGGGAGGGATGCAGTAACCAATGACTGTGCAATTAAAATGTCCACAAGTGGCATTCTCCAGATCCTCCTCCTTAGGTCAATCAGCTTTTTTCCCTAATAAAAAGACTCTGCTCTCAGTGCCCAATAGGAAGTGAAATTCATTTTATGAAGAAAATAAATAAATAAATAAAACAGTAAGTCTAAAAAAGAATAAGCTGGCAGTGGATTAAACTAACAATCCGCAGAGTTAGTATTACCTCAAAGGACCACATCCTCCCAAAATTCCACTCAGGCAGAACCAAAAGTGAAGCAAGGAAGTAGTATCAGGGACCAAAGTCATAAGAGAAAATCCTGTGGCTGGCTGCGAATACCCTCCCAGGCCATTCTTGCACCCAAACAGTCTTTAAAAACTTCTTTTTGCTGATTTTGGCTCCAAGAGAGGTATGGATCACCCCTCCCTCCCCCGAGAATGGCTTCATTGGTGTTCGGAAGGGGAACCCGCACCAAACATCTCTTGAGAAGCATAGGTCATGTAGAGGAAGCCATCTTCATCCTTGTTGTCATTGTAGATCTGTAAAATAGTCAGACTAAGACAGGGTAGGGTTTGATTGTTCACGAGTAAGTAGAAGGCTTGTGTAGCTGTGAGGGATAGCCGGGTTCTGGAGAAGGAGAAAAGAAGAGTTGTCAAGGCAAGATCAGAAGAAAGAAAAGGGATAGCTGCTGGTTAGATTTGATCTAGTCCAGGCAATCCATGGGGCCACATTTTTTTTTAAAAAAATGTATTTTTTGTACAGTTCCCTGATACACATATCAATAAAATCACAGCATGCGAAAGACAACCTCAAACCAACATAGCAAAAACACAATAAGAGAAAAAGCAATAACAGCAATTAATGTAATTTAAGAACCCCACTCATCAGTAGCAGTTAAATGTTCTAAAACACTGAAGTGGGTTTAAAAAAAAAGTCAAAATAAAGAGGTTTTTCACCTGCCTCCGAAAGGGCTGGAGTATATAAGGGCTGCAGATGTTTCAAAACTGATTCAGAAGAAAGCCTTTTGGACCTTGTATGGAAGGCTGCACCTCTATTATTCATGAAAACCCACATGCTTTTTTTTTCATGCACAAGCCTAAAAACAATGTAGCTACTTTTATGAGTTGCATAATTATTTGCTCCATTAAGCAGCAGCAGCTTTTTGGCCCTCTTGCACGCAAGCTTGAAAAGGGACATGGATGACTAAATGAATAGACTAAATGACTAAAAGAGATGCTTTGCTCATATGAGGCCTGAAGCACATATTCTAAACTCTTTTTGAAGTGTGGGTGTCCCATTACCATATGCCCCAGATCAGGGAAGAGAGCACCCCACCCCTTTGTTTGGGGTTACATGAATTCCCATTCCCAACAATTCTACCCAGCATTGCCAACACTGAGCATTGCAATGCTGCAACATCTGGAGAACAAGCTTTAGTCTCAAGAAAAGATTTTCTAGAAAATCAAGAATGTCAAGAACTAACATTCTTGCCATGTTAGTTCCTTTAAAACTGTAGGAAGGTATGCTGAATTTGGATGAGGCAATACTGTAACTAGGTCATTTTGGCTCTGCCCACTAGTCTTTTTGCAAAATGTGGGTGCTGACTGACTTATCCCCTAATGAACTGCTCCTTCATTGAGTCACTTCCCATATTCAGTTGAGTTAATAATTACGGTAGCAGGCATGCACAAGCCACATTTAAGTTCTTGCCCTATATCAGCAAATGGCTCTTATTTTGGTAACTGGGGACAGTATAAGAAGCAGAGCAAGATTTTGAGATCCATATTATTAAGATACATTTTTTTACTTTTGCTTTTATAGAATTGCATATTGTTTCAATAGGGCTTTTTGTCAAATGGAAAAGAATGGATCGTCTTTTAGAAACAGCGTAAGTTTTTAACCTTTAAAGAATGTCTATGGAGATTCTCAGTCATCTAGGTCAGGGGTAGGCAACCTTGGCTCTTTTTATGACTCATGGACTTCAACTCCCAGAATTCCTGAGCCAGCATAGCTACCCCTGATCTAGGTCATGGTTGTCCCAAAGGTGCTTTTTCAAAAGGCAACTGGACTTTGTTTCTCTCTGAAGACATTTTGCTTCTCATCCAAGAAGCTTCTTCAGTTCTGATTTCTTCAATCAGAACTAAAAAAGCTTCTTAGATGAGAAGTGAAACATCAAGAAAAAACAAGTCCAGCTGCCTTTTGAAAAAGCACCTTTGGGACAAAGAACTCAGAAGCACTGCAAGGTCCATAGACAGTTTATGCTAATATCAATATGTTCTGGGGTAAGAACTATACAGAAGAGGGCTCAAATTGAGGGTAATGTGGCTCTGATGTCAGTAAGAAAAACCAACTGTCTTTCCTTAGAACAGGGTTATCAAAGTGCCGGCCCGTGGGCCGGTTTCATCATACCGGAGCCGCGCCCACCCCATTGCCGGCAATGGCGAAAAAGCTCCGTCACGTGACATCACGAGTCTGACATGTCTGCCTTAGAAATATAAAGGTACCATTGTAAAGTAATCACAGCAACCTATATAAACAGGATAGCCTTGCATATAATGCTTTTTGCCTGAGAATGAAAGGCAATATTCTTCCCATGGCCCAATTCCAGGTCCCATCTACCTCAGAGTGAAAATAAACTGAGACATGGATATATCTGGAGAAACCAAAAACTTGATCCGATCCAACTGGGGAAGAGACTTCTCCTTCCTGTAACGTTCCACTACCACCTGTGGACAAAGGAATGTATTTAATTACCAAGATTCTACAATCCTTCAATTACAAGGTTTTGATTTTTGAAGGGGCAGATTGAAAGTCATGTTACTATGGAAGCTGACAGGTCTGTGCAAGCTGCTAAAAAATGATGGGTGTCTGGAGTTATGCAGAAATTACTCCAAGTTCAGCAGAGGAATGGTTCAATAGAAAGATTAATGCAAGTGCAATCCAGGATCAAGGCCTATTGCTCCTAGAATGGCTTCATAGATGAGATCTTTTATTTTCAACAGCTTTGGGTAACAACAAGCTCTGTTTGAGCAATAGACCTAAAGGTCTGATTATAACTATAGTTGACTATAGAGCATCTGTTTTCAACCTGAGCTTTCTGGTATGTTAGCAGAGCTGTGGAGGGACACATCTCTGCCTTGGATTTGGAAAACTAAAATTGGTTTCCCTTGATCCCCCAACCAACAGAGTGTTGAAGTGGCATTTGTATACTTTTGAAAAATAGTGAATCTTAAATATTTATTTGCCTCACATGTGACATCAAGATATAATGGTTTCTTCAGCTTTGCATGTCATGTAAACCTTGCCAGGAAATCATAGATTAGCACAGTATGCAAGTGTCACAACAGCTCACGCTTTTAACAATCCTATAAAATAGATTGGGACATTTTAAATTGTCACCTTAGGAGCAATGATTGGAAGTTTGATGCTCTGATTTCTCGGTAGGTTATTAGATAGTCAGCCTTTAGGACAAGACTTTGCATTTGATGGGATATATTGGAAAGCAGCTGTCAGCAGGTGTGGCTTACACAACATGTTAACATTTGCTGGCATTACCTACTCTATAAGTTTTAAAGAAGTAAAAAACCTCTTCCCTTCTTTATATCCAGCCATCCAATAATATTCCAGGTGTGACTCCTAATTTCCCATAGGACTAAAAGCTTTAACAGCTTATTTCATACACTGCATGAAATCATGTGGCTAGATTGGTTATAGCTTACAAGTTATTATCTTAGTATAATACAGCAACCCAAATCATTTCTAACTTATTCAATAAACTATAGTTAAAGACTTAATGTCTTAACATAGAGACAAAATTGGAATCAGAACTGGAACTCTTTGATGCCAACTAAGTCTTAGCTAGTACTTTACCATGTAGGAGAAACTCTGCATTTACTTGAAGACTCTAGTCTGTGCAATGCAGAAAGGCAACAAAGGCAGATGCTAGCATTTGAAGAACTTAGGTTAAGATCCATGGATTAGGCAAGCATATTCAAGTCAAGAATTAGTTGATTTGATTACAGAATATCATCTGATCCCCCCAACATAGGAACAAAGATGTGAGAACCTTTTCCCTCTTTCATTATTTTTATTATGTCACATTTCCAGAAGTTGAAATGTACATTAAAACTGAATCATGTAACTTAATCATTTTACTATAGTGCTGGCATCACAGGAGGAAAGCTGTGCTTATTCCATGGTAGCAAAAATCAGGATTCTAGTAACTTTTATTAAGTTATTATTAAAAGGCATAAGATTTTGTGAGCTGCAGTGCACCATCAGATGCAAAGAATGGCTCAACTAATGTAAGATTCTTGTTGTGGTTTATTTAATAAAGTTATCAGAGTATCAGAGTTAACTATGAAGTAGCCTATCATGTGAGCACAAAGTGTCTTTTCAAAATAGTGCCACAAAAAACAAAACAGAAACACAAGTTAAGATAGGCAAGAAAATCGTTAGTGAGCACCTGTCCAGCCTAGATGAGTTCAAATCGCCAGGACCAGACGGATTACACCCCAGAGTTCTCAAGGAACTGGCAGATGTGATATCGGAGCCACTGAACTATATTTTTCAAAGATCCTGGAACACAGGGGAACTACCAGAGGACTGGAAAAGAGCTGATGTAGTTCCCATCCTCAAAAAAGGAAAAAAAATGGATCCAGGAAATTACAGACCTATCAGCCTGACCTCAATACCTGGGAAGATCCTGGAAAAGATAATCAAACAACGAATCAACGAACACCTAGAGGCAAACAAAGTCATTACTAAAAGCCAACATGGGTTTGTCAAAAATAGATCATGCCAGACAAATCTTATTGCATTCTTTGACCAAGTGACAAAATTAGTGGATCAGAGGAATGCTGTGGACATAATTTACTTGGACTTCAGTAAGGCATTTGATAAAGTAGATCACAACCTACTACTTGACAAGATAGAAAAATGTGGGGTAGACAGAACCACCACCAGATGGATCCGTAGCTGGCTGACCGGCCGTACTCAGCGAGTGGTCCTCAATGGAACTGCATCTATATGGAGGGAAGTGTGTAGTGGGGTGCCCCAGGGCTCTGTTCTGGGCCCAGTACTCTTCAACATCTTCATCAACGATTTGGATGAAGGGATAGATGGGAACTCATCAAATTTGCAGACGACACCAAGCTGGCAGGAATAGCCAACACTCCAGAAGACAGGCTTAAGATACAGAAGGATCTGGACAGACTTGAACACTGGGCACTAACTAACAAAATGAAATTCAATGGTGAAAAAAGCAAGGTTCTACATTTAGGCAAGAAAAACCAAATGCACAAGTACAGCATAGGTGGCACCATGCTCAATAGTAGTAACTGTGAGAGGGACCTCGGAGTCCTAGTAGACAATCACTTAAATATGAGCCAGCAGTGTGCTGCAGCTGCCAAAAAAGGCCAACACAGTGCTAGGCTGCATTAACAGAGGGATAGAATCAAGATCACGTGAAGTATTAATACCACTCTTCAATGCCTTGGTAAGGCCACACTTGGAATACTGCATCCAGTTTTGGTCACCACGATGTAAAAAAGATGTTGAGACTCTAGAAAGAGTACAGAGAAGAGCAACAAAGATGATTAGGGGACTGGAGGCTAAAACATATAAGGAACGGTTGCGAGAATTGAGTATGTCTAGTTTAACGAAGAGAAGGACAAGGGGGGACATGATAGCAGTATTCCAATATCTCAGGGGCTGCCATAAAGAAGAGGGAATTAAGCTATTTTCCAAAGCACCTGAAGGCAGGACAAGAAGCAACGGGGATGGAAACTCATCCAGGAGAGAAGCAACCTAGAACTAAGGAGAAACTTCCTGACAGTGAGAACAGTTAATCAGTGGAACAGCCTGCCTCCAGAAGCAGTAAATGCTCCAACACTGGAAGTTTTTAAGAAGAGACTGGACAGCCATTTGTCCGAAATAGCGTAGGGTTTCCTGCCCGAGCAGGGGGTTGGACTAGATGACCTCCAAGGTCCCTTCCAACTTTACTACTATTACTAATTACTAATTTCATTCCAAGTTATTGAGTGTTTGGGGTATGAGAATGGTGGAGTCGGGGGTGGAGCCTGGTACCCCCTCTGCTGAGTGCAATAGCAAAAGTAGGGGGGGGGGCAGGACTTACCCTTGGGCTTGGTTTGTATGGAAAGCGAGTCCGGTCAGGAAGGGAGAAGGCTGGTGAGGGTGGGGGTACTCCGGGGAGGGGAGAAGGTCGGAGCATCCCGGTCATGACTGGGATGGGCAGATACGGCGGGAGCCGAGGGGCAGGCCATCTTCGGGGAACAAGGACCCGCTATGTTAGAGCGATTCCTTGTTCCGGCCCCTCAAAAGGCTCAGCCTGTAGTACTGGTGACAGGGGAGTACAGGGCCCTAATTGTAGGCTGCTGTTGCTTAATGCCAGGTCCGTTGTCAGCAAAGCCCCCCTTGTCCGTGATTTAATATTGGACGGCGGGGCGGACCTGGCATGTATAACCGAAACCTGGCTGGGCCCTGAGGGGGGTGTCTCCCTCTCGGAGATGTGCCCGGACGGGTTTGTGGTGCTTCATCAGCCTCGACATCAGGGCAGGGGTGGGGGAGTGGCAGTCATCGCTCGGAAGTCCTTGAGTCCTCGTGGGATTCCTGCCCCGGAGGTTGTTGGGTGTGAGTCCCTCCTATTGAAGTTGGGTTCACGGGTTCAGTTGGGCTTGTGCTGACGTACCTACCTCCCAGCTGCGTTGCAACAGCCCTGCCTGCGTTGCTGGAGTCAGTAGCCGGGTTGGCGGTGGAGTTCCCCAGACTTATAGTACTGGGGGACTTTAACCTACCATCACTCGGCGATCACTCAGAGGCGGCACAGGAGTTCATGGCTTCCATGGCAACCATGGACCTGACCCAGGTAATTCAGGATCCGACCCATAGGGGTGGTCACACACTCGACCTTGTGTTTCTCTCGGGGCAATGGAGACATGATCTGGAATTAAGGGGAATAGAGATTTCGCCCTTGTCATGGACAGATCATTTCCTATTGAGGCTGGACTTCAGAGCATCACTCCCCCATCGCAGGGAGAGGGAACCGACTAGGTGGTTCCGCCCCAGGCGCCTAATGGACCCAGATCGGTTCCAGGAGGAGCTTGGGGAAATACCTGACTCCCTTGTCCACAACTCGTCCGGGTCCCTGGTTGCGGCCTGGAATGAGGCGGCGTCCGGGGCCCTGGATCGAATTGCGCCTTTGCGACCTCTCTGTGGTGGTGGTCCCCGGAGGGCGCCTTGGTTCACTGAGGAGCTCCGGGAGATGAAGCGCCACAAGAGACGTCTAGAGCGACGTTGGAGGGCCAGTAACTCTGAATCTGACCGATCACTATTAAGAGCCTATCTTAGGACTTATTTAGTGGCGATAAGAGCGGCAAAGCGTGTTCACTTTTCCGCACTTATTGCGTCCGCAGAATCTCGCCCAGCCGCCTTGTTTAGGGTGACCCGCTCCCTTCTTAAAGTGGAGGAGGCGGAGGAACCCTTGCAGGGGAGAGCTGAGGAGTTTGCTCAGTTTCTTTCGGACAAAATCGCTCAGATTCAGAGGGACCTGGACTCTGACTGGGCAGTGCCAGCCGAGTTGCCAGGGGCTGGTCTTAGTCATATTATCTGGAGCGAGTTTGAGCCTGTGACCCCTGATGAAGTGGACAAGGCCGTGAGGGCAATGAATGCCGCCACCTGTTTATTGGACCCGTGCCCCTCCTGGCTGGTTTCTGCCAGTAGGGAGGTGACACGAGGCTGGCTCCAGGCGATAATCAATGCCTCCTTGATGGAGGGGTCTTTCCCGCAACCTTTAAAGGAAGCGGTGGTGAGGCCCCTCCTCAAGAAGCCTTCCCTGGACCCAGCTGTTTTGAAGAACTTTCGTCCCGTCTCCAACCTCCCCTTTGTGGGGAAGGTTGTAGAGAAGGTGGTGGCATCTCAACTCTTGCGATCCTTGGATGAAACCAATTACCTGGACCCTTTTCAATCTGGTTTCAGGCCCGGCTACAGCACTGAGACCGCTTTGGTCGCACTGACCGATGACCTCTGGCGAGCCCGGGATAGGGGTCATTCCTCTATCCTGGTGCTTCTTGACCTCTCAGCGGCTTTCGATACCATCGACCATGGTATCCTTCTGCGTCGTCTCGGAGAGGTGGGGGTGGGCGGCACCGTATTGCGGTGGTTCTCCTCCTACCTCTCCGACAGGTCGCAGTCGGTGTTGGCGGGCGGACAGAGATCGACCCCTAGGCGCCTCGATTATGGGGTGCCTCAGGGCTCGGTCCTGTCCCCCCTCCTTTTCAACATCTACATGAAACCGCTGGGTGAGATCATTCGGCGACACGGGGTGAGGTATCATCAGTATGCAGATGATACCCAATTATATATCTCCACCCCGTGCCCTTTCAGTGAAGCGGTCGACGTGATGTGCCGGTGCCTGGAAGATGTGAGGGTCTGGATGGGGGTGAACAGGCTTAGACTCAACCCTGACAAGACCGAGTGGCTCTGGGTCCTGCCTCCCAAAGGCCAACTGGATGGTCCATCTTTAGTCCTGGGGGGGGCAAATTTACCTCCCTCAGTGCAGGCACGCAACTTGGGTGTCCTCCTGGACTCACAGCTAAATCTGGAACAACATCTATCAGCTGTGGCCAGGGGACCTTTGCACAGGTTCGCCTAGTGCACCAGTTGCGGCCTTATTTGGACCGAGAGGCTTTACTCACAGTCACTCATGCCGTTGTCACCTCAAGACTGGATTACTGCAATGCGCTCTACATGGGGCTACCCTTGAAGAGCGTTCGGAGGCTGCAGTTGGTTCAGAACGCAGCCGCGAGAGCGATTGTGGGCACGCCAAGGTACGCCCACGTGTCACCTATCCTCCGCGAGCTGCACTGGCTTCCTGTGGGTCTCCGGACGCAATTCAAGGTGTTGGTTATCACCTTTAAAGCCCTTCATGGCATAGGGCCAGGTTACTTACAGGACCGCATTCTGCCGCATAGCTCCCAGAGACCGGTGAGGTCCCATAGATTGGGCCTCCTTCAGGTCCCGTCGGCCAGACAATGTCGGCTGGCGGGCCCTCGGGGAAGGGCCTTTTCCGTGGTGGCTCCGACCTGGTGGAACCAACTTCCCCCCGAGGTTCGAACTACTCCCACCCTGCCGGCCTTTAAGAAGGCTGTTAAAACCCTCCTGTTCCGGCAGGCCTGGGGCTGATGTCCCCGGGGGGCCGGGATATGACCGGACTCGCAGTATGATCGCAGTATGATTGTATTATTTTATTATTTTATTGTTTTTTGACTGTTTTTTAACTTTGTACGCCGCCCTGAGTCCTTCGGGATTGGGCGGCATATAAATATTAAAAATAAATAAATAAATAAATAAATAAATATTCCATCCACCAGCAACATGATTCCATTTAAATGCCAGATCTTGCAAAATATTAAGGTGATTAGGTGCTAAGTTTCAAATACAAGCAAGAAATTTCAGGTTGTTTTTCAATATCTTTCATTTTTTTTGATGACTAATCTTGTGGCATTTGAAACAGTGAGACTGGAAGCGGAAAGCAGGGCTCCTATTTCTCACGTTAAGACTGCCAAAATCAAGGTTTTTCCTTTCATTGCTCTTGCATTTTATTATTCATCTAGAAGGCTTGTTTTAGGAAGTTTGTTCATAAATAGACAGGGCAGGAAGATCCCACTGTTGATTGAACCAAGTCAAGTCTATTCTGCAGTTTCCAAGCAAAATGTTGGGATCATAGGAGCATCTTCTAGATCCTTCCATTTCCCCAAGCCACATCTCCCTAGCTAGTTTATGGTTTATCATGGTGGGTAAATGTTAGCCAATGTGACCCCCCAAAAAACAAGTTTTAGGCTGTCAGGCCTCATCATTGTTGCTGAACATATGTCACAAGACCATTGGATGTATATGAGAAGTTCTTGTATATCACTGAAGCTTCTTCACAAAATAGAAGTTCAATCTCCAATTAGTTATATCTTTAGTTAATTGCATCCATTTCATTAGTTGAGTTCTTGGACATTACAGCAAAAGCTGAGTCATTCTATCAAATGGGGAAAAAGGAATTTTGCTTACCGGAATTTTGTTCGGATACTTCCCCCGAATTTCTGTTGTCTCATTCATCCGAGTTGCTAAACAAAGATAGACATATATTCACACATCAGTAGCTATAAGAATTTAGGAAGATTCAACCTCTTAATGATTCTTTATTCTGTCCCAATTTACTTTAGAAGTTATCAATTCTTATCAGCATAAATCAAGTTGCTCCACTCAGATAAATTGAGATGTTGAAGTCAGTAACTTTTATGATGTTTTTAGCCTAAGAAACAAGTTTTTTTAAGTGTAGAGTGGTAAAACTGGAAGAAAAATCACACAACTATGGCCCTATAGATCCTACAACTCCCATCGCCCCCACTATATGTTAAGAAATTATTTCATATACTAGTTGGCACTGTTCTATTTAATGAGTCAGGAGGAATGAGGATTGCCCCATTTTCTTTAACAAGATTCCTGTACACTATTCTATTTCCAACAGCTTCCTTAAAGTCAGTTGGAACACCAACTGTCAGGAAATATTTCCGTTGGTTAACCCTATAAATGAGCGGGTAGAACAAAGAGGTTCAAATATCTTACAGCTGTTAGGGCTCTCTTGGATTAACTTGCAAGGTTCACGTAAAGAAGAAAATAGATAATAGAAGAACAGTATGCATTTGGGTAAAGGAAAAGCAGAATTGAAATGTTAAACAGCTCTAACAGTCCCATTTAGGACAGAGAATCAAAAAATACAATGTTAGATGGATGAGTGGATTAGAAGAAGAAAGCAGGAAAATGGAAACAAATTATATAATCGTGGTCTCCCTTTGAAGCAACAGTTCATTTACCAAAACTTTTCCTCTCCTTGAAAGGACGGTTTTCACACTGGTTTCTTTGCATCTTCAGCATGTCTGTAAAAGGTATTTCCCCTGGCAGATAAGGCAATTCCTGCTTTCCTAAACTCCTTGCTTTCCTATCTCTGTTATTCCCTAGTTAATATAAGGGTAAGCAGCTCATTTATTAAGGCAAAGTTTGGGGGTGGAGCTTTTTGAGGAAATGGCAGCTGTTTGTGGGAAGGAAAAGAAATACAACTGCAATAAAGCAACTTGGTTACAGATGAGCTTCCAAGGTCCTTGCCTCATCTGGACCAGCCAAAAGATAAGCTCTTAAAGAGATATGTAGGAGGAGCAAATTTGCATTTTGACCCTTAAATCTACTGCTCATGCATATTACAATACATATATATGAGTTATATACTCGCTGCTTTCCATCTTTCTCCCTACACAGAAACACATGCATAAGAGTGGGGAAATTGTGGTTTTCCTGCAGTGGCTGAATTTCAACTTTTAGTAGCCTTGGCTGATGTCGATTGATGTGGGGAACAGGCTTTTAACCTGGGTTTAGTGCTTTGGTCCTATTCTGATAAGAAAGTGAGAATTACTTCTGTGTAAGCTTGTGTAGGACTGAGTGCTAGGTTTCTGCATAGTTATGCAAGAATAAACTTCCAGTGAACTCAGTAATGATTAGGACTTTGCAGACAGTAATGTGTTTGGTTTCTGTGCAGCTAAATGTGATGCATGCATAATCAGAAATAAATGCAACTAAATTCAATAGAGCTTACTCCTTTGTAAATCTGTCAAAACCTACAGCCTTATTAAGATTGATAGGCATGTTTGCAGTTTTAGGAACTATTCCAGGAAAGGAATGCAGAGCACAAGGCCAATTGAGGAGGCAGAGAGACAATTTGCATTGAAGGACATCTCTAGATTAGAATAAAGGGCTTCCCAGAACAGTTTTGGGATTTTTTAATTATTTAAAACTATATCAAAGATAAATAAACTCATACACTTGATGTTCCTTCCAGTTCTCCTTAGCTAAATGTACTGCAGCTTCCAATTTTGTTGGAGTTTGAGATTTTCCAGGGGTGAATTTCCCAATTAGATTTTATTTGATTCAGATAATTAAAATACATGGATGAAAAGTATCTGAACTGGTTGTGGTTTTGGATGCATTTAATTCGGTTTGTAAAACCAATACATACATTTCTTGAATTAGTTTGATAGTCTAAATTCAGAAAGAGTGGTGAATATTCACACAAACCTATTTGTTTCCCAGACTATAACTTTCCACAGCTTGCTTCAATGACAAGATCAAGTCCATATTAGGCTATTACACTCATTTGAAATTAATGGATCAATCCATGTATCTAATATTAGTATTCAAATGACTAAAGAAAGGAAAGTGGTCATATGAAATCAAGGTCCTTTCTATGACACTTGATATTTAGTCTAATCATGCTGCCCAACCACCAGTCCTCTTAAAAAATCTATGTCTAGATTTCCAGGATTCTAAAATGTTATAAGAATCCTATAACATTGATTGCCATGTGGATTTCATGGGGAGGATTTCAACTCTGATCCCATAGATTACTGACCAGCATTCTTACTGGATGGAAATTTTTCTTATTGATTAAAACAATTCTCCCAACAATCTTGTGAAGGACAATTTTATGCATAAAAGGCACTTTATTGTATAGTAGGAATTTGAACCTCATTCTGCTTGGGTCCAGCTGTAAATCCAAAATCTAACCCATGGAACCCAATAAAACCCTATTTCTTAATTAAACAATTTCCCATATACTAAAAGTAACAGGCACCTATGGGAACAAGGAGTAAGAATGTCAGGTAAGCAAGTATGTCAGGCATTCAAAATTATATTCAAGGGAGACTTCAGGTAAATTGTATCGCACAGAATTCAATGTTGCATTAAAGCCTATGTTGGGGAATTAGTGGCTTTCCAGGTGTTGTTGAACTACAATTTTGAGTATTCCTTGCCATTGACTCTGCTGAATGAGACTGCAGAGAGTTGCAGTTCAATAGTCTTAGAGGGCCACAGGGCCATATCTTACTATAAATGTCTGCCAGCAATCATATGCTAAAGTGAAAATGTACATCTAGATACCTTCCTGCACTCTCTACTTCTTCACAGTGTTTTCACCCAGGCCTCTATTGAGTGATTGAAGACCCCCCTTTCTTCTTTTTCTTCATTTCCACCTGGGTTTGTTATCTCTGGTATTTTTATTCTTTTTTTTCTGTTTCTTATTTTAAAGTGTTTTTAACAATTTGCAAACTGCCAAGAGTTGCTGGGAGTCAGGCGGCATATAAATTCAATACATTATTATTATTATGGTTGGTCATATAATCGGTCAAATGTTTAGACTGGATTTGGCATTTTTATCTGACCATCGAATCCTTCCCAAGACCCTGGGCTAAGCAGATGTTGTTGTTTCATAATATTAAAGTTATAATTGCAAGATGTAAGCTGTTCAAATATGTAAAAACCAGTTCTCTGTGTGGATGCCGCTTCCGGAAGTCCATTCTGGGCCTGGGCCACAAAAAATTAGCTGCCAGTTCTGCCAAAGTGGTGCGAACTGGTTGAATCCCTCTACTGGTTCAAAGAAAAGCTGCCTTTTGCAATTGATTGATGATGATTTTGTCAATGTTGATGGTATTCAAGTGGTGCTCCAGATATTTTGGAATTGCACCCAAGATGCATTATTGGTACTGGAACTATCTTGGTTTTCTTTTCTCATAGTTGTTCCATTTTCAGATTTATATATTTTGTGATTTTTCCCAGTTTTTTCTCTTCTATTCTGCATTCTTAATAATGCCATGTCCACTACCAGACTTTTTTTTATCTTTCTTATCAATAATAATTAAGATTATTGATAAATAAGGGATATTATGTGGTGAATGCTTGTCAGTTTGAATTCTAAAGTCCTAGAGCACTTTAGCTTCTTCATTTGCTATTACTTTGTCTATTTTATGGTCCCACAAGTTCTTGCTTACAAGCAAATGGTATTTCCTGCAGATCTTCCAATGCACCATTACTACTACTTTGTTTATAGTCAGTCTGTGTGATCTTCTTGCAGTAGCTAACTAGGTGGGGCACTGATGATGTTACCTAGTTTATAATGAAATGTCTGGAAGAAAACTACGAGAGCATCAAGGACTCCACAGCTGAACTCTGAGTTACAAATATTCTCTTCTGTAGGTGGTCTACTATTTCTTCAACTTCTTTGCAGAGGTGGTGGCACTTGCTGTTTGTTGTTGTCTTCTCATTCTGGCTTTGTATGTATTTGTTTTTAAAGCTTGGTGTGGTGCAATCGGAATTAGCCACTCTGTCGCTTTCTTCAACTTTCTTGCTCTTAGTATTGTCAGGTCATGTTGTTATTTCCTTTGCCTGCTATGTTTTAATATATTGGCCATCTAATACCTTTCCTTGCCATGTCTTGTAGCCCAGTTTGATTTCTCCACTACTCAGTAAGCCTTCATGGTATACTAGCTTCAGTGCATCTTCTTCACTGTCCTTCAGATATTCTTCCAATGCCCTTTTTTCTTCTTCTTCAGCTCTCTGTGTACTTGCAACATTCCATGCCCATCTATTTTCTTTGGTAAGTAGATTTTATCAACATTACTGCATGGATGAGGTGGATTATTATTCCTATTCCTAAATCGTTGCTTAGCAGAAATGTGCTTCCTAAAATTCAGACCTATGATCAAAGACCAAGAATGGAATAGAGTTATGAGAAGAGTCTGAATGGATCGTGCTACTTCAGAAGGCATGTACAAGAGAATGACATGGGTGTATATTCAATGATGCAGAAATTTCAAAGGGATAGCTATGCTTGATTATTATTGCAAAACCAACATTCTTTTGGTACAATAAAACCTAAGCAATTATTATAGCAAAAGCTTTTATGGACTATAGCCCACTTCATTAGATGGTAGTTCATGGGAGTATTTCAAAATAGAATTAAATTACTATTAGAGACTCTTTGTGTCATGATTCCGACAGATGAAACTCTTTAAAAGAACTTTGAGGCATTGTTTACCTTAAAGAATCTTTTATTCGAGAAACAAAGTATCGGCATTACATAGTTAAAGCCAAAAACTGAATTCCCCTCCCCTGGGCACAAAGTAGCAAAGCATAATTTCCTCCTCCAATTAACCGTTATAAATCACATTCTCCAATTAGCTTGAAGCCTGGGCTTTCTCCCCAGTTCTCCAGCCGCCAAATCTTTATTAGCTCTGGGCACAGTAACCTTGATTCCCAAGACTGAGTTATTGTTGTTATGACTAACTGGACTCTCATCCACATCCCCCTTCCCAGCATCATCTAACTCTAAAAGCGAAAGAGAAAAGATGGCTACATTTCCATCTGTTGTTTTCAAAGCAAGAACATCCGATGTTAGCAGCGTTGACACTTTGTTTTAATCTAAGGGAAAAGGCTCCTGCATCTGCTACAGTAACCCACAAGGATAAAGTTTTAGAATATTTTTTCCAGTGGTAGGCCAGGTTTGGAGAATATTTATTGAGTGTTCGTAAACTTTTTTCCCCCTGAAATCTAAAGTCAGTAGCACATTTCAGAATTCTAAGATATGTATTCCAG